CTGTCTCTATGTCTCTCTCTGTCTGTCTGGCGAGCGCACATGCCCTACAGTGAAAATCTCTCCAAAAAAAAAAAGAAGAAGGCATCTAACTGGGAATTTCTTTCAATGGACTACAGATAGAAATTAATTGAATGCATGATGACACGATTAAATGCCAACCAAAGTTAAAGCAATCTAAGAAACCATATGGCCTCCACAGGAGCTTTGTGAATTTAAACAATATTAAGAAAGGAAGGAAGGAAATGAGGCAGGGAGAGAGGAATGGAGAGAGAAAGGAAGAAAGAAACATAGAAAGATATTTTTAAATACAAATACCTATTTGAAAAACAAATCTCTCCATGTATTACATCATGTGATACAGAAGCTAGTGCTGTAATAGGAAGTTTGACTATCTAATGGGGGTAAAACAAATAGAAAATAGTAATTAAATTGAAAAAAATTACATTATTTCATACACTTTAAAAGGAATTACAGTCAAGGCAAGCTATTGGCTCGAAGTTGCCTTGTGTACAATGGAGATAATACTTGCCCTGTGTAGTTATAGGCATACAGTGGTGGTGAGAAACATGTGACCGTTACCTGTAAGTTATCAAATGCTATTTAAATATGTAGTATTATATTTCCTAAACTTGCAATCGTACTGTAATAGAGACCCAATCATCTAAAAATAAGAAAGTTTTCAATTCTTTAGTACTGTTAATTACAATTTTTAACTGAATATTGTTTATGACGTTGTAAACTGGGATAGCCTGTGGTGTGGTGGTTAAAGTGGCTGGATCCTACACAGCTGACTGCACAATTCGTGTCCTGGAATGGGTGGCTTAAAAAACATGCCAGGCACATGTGTGTGTGCCCCAAATCCTAAGGAAAGAATGGAAGAGAAGGGAGTGAGATGTGGTTACCCCCTTTGGGTAGGAGGTGATTTCTCAGTCCCCTTTTCCTCACCTGGCAAGTGCACATACCCTATAGTAAACTTAAAAAGCAATAATAATTCATTAATAATCAACATGTATGTTTTATATTAAAGTATACTTTTTGAGAAACCATAAATGCCAAGCAAAACCCATGACACATTGGTTAAGTAAGATGCAAGTGTTTTAGGCAAAGTATCAAAAAATTACTCCCAACGTATTAATGAGTGCTTTTCTGACAGGCAGATTCAATCTCTTAGTAGGAGGACTACATGGAACACAACAAAATATTACACATTCAGTATTTTCTATGGCCATACATACTTTGCCTGAAAATATATAATATACAGGATATTTCTATACTACTATCGTAATAAAGAACCAGAAGCAGGAATCGGCAGGTGGCTTGACGGTTAAGGTGCTGGATTCTCACATGGTCAACAGTGGTTCCAGTCACCAACCCAGAGGCTTACAAATCACGCCAGGTGCATGTGCATGCATGTCCAATATCCCAGAGGAAAGTGGAACAGAAGGGATTGCAGTGTGGCCATCCTCCACTGGAGGGTTGATTTCTAACTTTCCTCTCTCTCTTTCTCTGGTGAGTGCATGTACCCTACGGCAAAAACCTAAAAACAAACAAACAAACAAACAAAAAACCAGAGCAAGGGGTCAGATAGAGTCATGATGGTAACACAGGTGGGCCGCATGGGAAAGGCCGTGGTCTGCATCCTCGCAGGCCTTCCTGGGCATTCCGGTCCTGTGAGGGTCATCTGTGCCCTGGGCTGGTCAGGACTGGGGATGGACTGCTTCATGAGAACTCTGTGGGGGATGACTATCCCCCACCATGTTTCTCTCTTTCATGGAAGAAACTTAAGAAAAAGGGGGGAGGGAGCAAAAAGTGGCCATGTATATGTCTACAAACTCAGAAAATAGTGGCCTATATAATAGAAATATTAGTGAATATTTAATTTCCCAATGATTAATCTTATGATTACTAATACTGGAACTCTTTCAGTCTTTTCTTACCTATTTTAAGACAAAAGTCTATTGAGGAACACATTGAAAGTGAAATCTCTAACCTACCTTTCTTAAATTTCTATGGTATTTGTATCATACAGTACTGAGACAAAGCCTCAAAGAAAACTGAGGATACTTTTACAATAACAAAAATCATGACATTTTAGAGCCAGAAGGGATTTAGGAAATTCCTTTATAGGTAAGGCCCAAAGATTCACCACTTGCCCAAAATGATAAAAGCTGGTTCCTGAATAGCTAAGATCAGTGATTTTCAGAGCAGCTTAATTTCTATACAACACGTTAAGAAACAAACAAAAATACAACAAACAATAAAAAAAAAAAAAAAAAAAAAAAAAAAAAAAAAAAAAAAAACCTGGGAATAAACAAACAGGGAATATAAAGCAACATTTCTAATTGTTATACAATCTGTTTCACTGGAAACAAAGTCTTATCTTATTGTAGACAGGCACATTAAATTGTTTCCAACACTAGAATGCAAATATATAAACTATAAAAAATTCTGGGACCAGCAGGTGGTGTAACGGCTATGTCGCTGGACTCTCATTTAGTCTACAGTGGTTCAAGTCCTGGATCCAGCGGCTTAAACTCACAGCAGGCACATGTGTCTGCATGCCCAGGATCTGAGAGGAGAATGGAGAAAGGATTGAGGCATGACCATCCTTCCTGGGGGTGATTTCTCTCTTTCTGTCTCTCTGTCACTGCCTGTCTTTCTGGAGAGTGCATGCGCCCTATAGCAAAAACCTCTCTTCCCCAAATAATTCTTAGTCTCTACTGAAATAACAAAAAGCATACAGAAAAGCTAGATAAAAAGAACTGATAATAACAAATAATTTTAAAAAATAATTAATTGTGTTTATTATTAGTTAATTTGCTGCAGGACATGTGCACTCGCAAGCCACCAGGTCCAGGACTTGAACTGCCATTGCCCACATGGGAGCCAGCGCCCTAACTACCATGCCACCTGTTGGTGCATAACTATGGTTTTTTAAATGAAATCATTTATTTGTCTCTGGTGAGGATCAGTAAAAACAAACACACATTAACCTTTCATGATTGGAAATGGTTTGGCCAAAAGATATCAGAGTCCCATATAAATTTCAGGGCATTTATGTGCAACTCATCTGTGTGCGAAGCCACAAGAGAAATACTACCCTTGGGAAAGAGGTATAGAAAATGAAAAGCCAAAAGGCATCTCTGAGCCCGCCAAGTCGGTACCCTGGGCAAAGCTTACCCTCCCGAATTGAAAAAAATGTATGGACAAGAAGCTTTCATTGAAATGAAAGGATGGCAGACACGTCCGAGGAGCACTGCAGGGATCTGATCCCCTTAGGAACCTTGTGATAGATGAACGTGTGGAGACGGCAACCAGTGGGCAACAGAGCAATACTGAATGGTGGTAGTACGAGGACACAGGAGCATCATGTTAGAAGACTTGGAACGACTATAAGTAATGGCTGTTCAACAGAAAAACCCGTGTCTCCTGGTCAACGGGCCTGTTTTACTATGATGTAAAAATCAGGTCATGAACATTTTCATAGTAACTTTTCATTAAGTAAAAAAAAAAAGAAAAGAAGAAAAAGAAAAAGAAAGAAAGAAAATGAGAAAAGCCAATCTAGGGAATATTCCAAACAACATAAAATCAGGAAGAGGGATTTTCAAACATTAAGCGGTATCACGTAAAGCCCATGAAATAATCTCAGAGAAATGATACATTTTAGAATGAAAAAGAAAGGGGAATTGTAAAAATCTGAAATGTTGTTAATAAATATATAAGTTATTAAAGTAAAAACAGTGAGGAAAATGTAAGCATGGTAGAGATCATACCATTCTTGACTAAATTAATTAGCTAAGTTTACAGTGAGGAAGAATAAACAGAAAACCTCAACTCTTAAGCAACTGTAGAAGAAAAAAGGGGGAAAAATCCATAAAGAAGAAGAAAATATGTGATATAAATTTCTAACACACACATACACAGAGTGCACGATTGTCTTTGACATAATCTGAGGCAGTGTTAACGCTAACTATAAAATATAAACTGGTTCATAAAGGAGTCAATTATAAAGCATCGAAAGAAAGCATACAGAGTAAATTCTACCTTATAATATTTAACCTACTCATTAACAACTTCCTAAAATTATTAATTTTTTATACTTAACACAAATGAGAGTAATAATCAAATATATATATATACGTATATATATGCATATATATACGTACATTTTAGAATGAAAAAGAAAGGGGAATTGTAAAAATCTGAAATGTTGTTAATAAATATATAAGTTATTAAAGTAAAAACAGTGAGGAAAATGTAAGCATGGTAGAGATCATACCATTCTTGACTAAATTAATTAGCTAAGTTTACAGTGAGGAAGAATAAACAGAAAACCTCAACTCTTAAGCAACTGTAGAAGAAAAAAGGGGGAAAAATCCATAAAGAAGAAGAAAATATGTGATATAAATTTCTAACACACACATACACAGAGTGCACGATTGTCTTTGACATAATCTGAGGCAGTGTTAACGCTAACTATAAAATATAAACTGGTTCATAAAGGAGTCAATTATAAAGCATCGAAAGAAAGCATACAGAGTAAATTCTACCTTATAATATTTAACCTACTCATTAACAACTTCCTAAAATTATTAATTTTTTATACTTAACACAAATGAGAGTAATAATCAAATATATATATATACGTATATATATGCATATATATACGTATATATATATATACGTATATATATATATATGAAATTTTACAGGAATTACTGTAAATCAAAATATGGTTTCAGCAAAATTATCTGGATAAGCGAAGTTTAACCAAGCTATATCACTGTAATTAATGACTTTTAATTAAAAAAAAGAGTATACTGAAGAACAGCATCAACAAGTGTTTGTTATTGGCGTCCTCCTCCACACAGCAGGATCAAACGTCTTCCATCAAATAAAGTCAGAGAATGTGAAATCGGCTGCTATCACAACAACCCCGAGAGAATTTCCACTGCCCCAGAGCAACATGCCATGTACAGTCCCACAACCCACGCACTCACCTTATCTTTGAAAAGATGTGGATTTTGGTATATAAAATCTCGGTAGCTTTCTGTCCGTACTTTATCCTAGGGTGAAGAGAATAACATTGTGCTTACAAAATAGTGCTTAACATTGTGCTTACAAAATAGAACAAATCATTGTTTTTAGAAAGATATTTGCTATTTTGTCACACACTGCCAGTTTCCACAGCTATTTTTGCCTACCAAGTTTATTTTTCCTAAAAAAAAAGTCAAGAATAGAAACAGCGACGATTCACAAAGACATGTTAAAGAATGTCACTGAAGGGATTTTAAAAAAAGTACACATTGTCTTCTTTTTACACGTATTAGCCTAAGACGTCAAATGATAACTAAAGATAACAGAGGATGAGCGCGATGTTTTGCTCCTTTAAACAGGACCTAGAATCTAGACTCCCTGTATTGGGGCTTGATTAAAATAACAGAGAGGGAAAAAGATCAAGGTAAAAGTTGCAGTTACAAGTGAAAAATGAAGCTGCACTGTTTTTCTAAGAAAGTCATTGATCAATAGCTACCTGATTTATAACCCTGTTTTGTTTCTAGAAATTTCTGTAGTAGGAAATGATGCTTAAAAGCCTATTAGCCTAAAAGTAAATCATCTGAACTCCACATCCCACATTAGGAAACTCCTACACTCTGGAGTCTGCCATGAACTGTGACCAAGCAGACATTCAACTCTAGCGTTTGTGCTGGTTCATACACAGTCCACTCCCTCGGCTGAGGCATGTACTGACTGCAGACTGAGCAGTTCTGGTCTCTGCTGCCAAGTAAGTAAAAAGGAGTATGATAAGAATAAATACCACAGACAGGTTCCTAGTCCTGGGTGCCACAGCAGGTGAAAGACAAATAGTTAAACCAGTTGCTGCAATGTCAATGCATTTCACAAACCATATCCCACAAAAACATTTTTATGCCAATATTGGGATTTTTTTTTAAAGCACAAAAAGGAGATCTTACGTTAAAAGGCAAGTCATTTTACTTAATATTTGAACCCACTTAATCCACTGATTATTATCTTTTTATTTTTTTGGAGAGGTTTTGCTATAGGGCGCATGCACTTGCCAGAAAGGAACAGAGACAGAAAGGGAGAAATCATCCCCCAGGGGGGATGGCCATGCCACAATCCTTTCTCCTCCATTCTCCTCTCAGGATCTTGGGCACGCACATGTGCCTGTTGTGAGTTAAGCCACTGGGTCCGGGACTCAAACTATAGTCAACTTTATGTGAGTCCAGCAAGGTAGTCATTATGCTATCTGCTGGTCCCCCAAAGGGCTATCTTGAAGATTAATTATAATACTTTCAAAATTGTTGATTATTATCTCGAATTGCTTTACAATACTTACTTTTAGGGGCTGGTTAAGGGCACTGGACTCCCACCTGGCCAGCTGCGGTCTGAGTCCCAAATCCAGCGGCTTGCTTTCTCACTTTCCCTCTCTCTCAGTCTGGTCAAATTTAAATAAATAAATAAAGCTAAATAAAACCAAAAAATGATTTTTAAATCAGGCTTACTACATCCCAATTCTCCAGTAAGTTATTTTAAGAATATCTAAGAGAACTTAATGTCTAAATAAATTTACAGTATTAACTCATTACTGTTTTTTAAAAATCATATCAATTTCATATATTTTAACCTTTATATGGTTCTTGCAATATACTCAGTGGTCCCGCTGACACAACAAAACCTACAAAGGAGGAATGCTGGTCATGAGTGCAGCCGCTCAGAACGCTCTCACCAATCATCCTGCCTCACCACTGCTCGACTTCATCAAGAGAATCCCCACTGTCCTAGCTCCACACACCACTGCTCCTGCGCTGAACTACAATCCTTCATTCTAGCTCCTTCTACATATTCACCAGCTTTTTCATACCTTCACACTAGAATAATGAAATCCAAAGTTAACAAGCATAGAAAGTTATGCATAGCAGAGCTTCAACTTAACTGAATTTGTCAAAGAAAAACCCACTAAGCAGGAAAATGCAAGCAAATAAATGACTACTCTTCATAACTATTTCTAAAAGTATATTCTAATAAAAGACTAATCCTTCTATATAAAACGAGGTAATAAACAACAATGTATTATCTTTTGTGCCAACTTACTGAAACTAAGAAACAGAGAAAACTAAAATTAGAGCTCCAACACTATGCTCAGAAGATATTTTAAGAATGTAAGACAAATCATAGAATTATTCCTGCAAATATACAAAAATAAATAAATAAATAAAAGGGCCAGCCAATGGTGTGGTAATTAAGGCAGACGGACCCCACTTGGCTGACTGTGCAGTGTGCGTCCCAGACCCAGCAGCATGTGGAACATGCAGGGCACTTGACTGTGCAAACCCCAAAAAGAGGGAGACGTGGAGGACAAGGGAAGGCAGCTGGTCATCCCCCACAAGGTGCTGTTCCACTTTCCCTCTCTCTTTCTCTTTCTCTGCCAAGCACATGTGCCCTCTAGCAAATCAAATCAAATCAAAACAAAACAAAGAATGCAGCTAAAAACAGAAGTCACATACTGTAAATTATTATTATTTTTTTTTTTTGGAGAGGTTTTTGCTATAGGGCGTGTGCCCTCACCAGAAAGACAGAGCCACACAGAGACAGAAAGCGAGAAATTATCCCCCAGGGGGGATGGCCACACCCAATCCCTTCTCCTCCATTCTCCTCTCAGGATCTTGGGCATGCACAGACACACGCCTGGTGTGAGTTTAAGCCACCGGGTCTGGGACTCACCACGGTGGACTACAGGGGAGTCCAGCAACATAGCCATTACACCAACTGCTGGTCCCCACATACTGTAAATTTTACATACACAAATGAAAGTATATTTTTAACTTATAGACTTTCAGAAGTGGACAGGCTGCACAAGTCAGCTGCATAAACAAGAAGAATGTGGTAATAAAAATTACTAAAATTCCAAATTATTAAATGGCACTACAATCTGCAATATATGCACACTAGGGTGAACAATGTTTTTCTTGAAAACAAATTCCTAGTAATCGTCAATAATCACTCCTTAAAAAATAAAGTAGCAAGGCATTTTGAAAGTTCATGTAAACTATATCTCTGGAATTCAAAAGTTATCTTTATTTTAATTTCAGAAATTAGATCACAACCAGTTTTATTTTAAATTATTTTGATTATAATAAAAATGTGCACCAAAAGTGTTATTTAAATACACAAGACTCAGAAACAAAAAAATATATAAATCATATCCATAAGAGTAAGACCAATTCTAAGCATAAAAATAAATCCTATAAATATTATTTCTCAATTTTAAATGACTAATAAAAACTACAGAGGATTCTAGTAGTAGGACAACCTTAAACAGCTCATGTGTGCTAAGAATTGTTCTGGTCAGAACAGAACAACACCGATGGATAAGGTAGGTATCACCTTCACTGACAGCATACAACTGAGAAAAATATAAAAACAGATAAAACAGTTCTTTTTTGAATGGCATATATCCACATCTCCTATGAATACTTAAGTCATTTCTAAGAGAGAAATTATACCATAGAACAACTAAGGGAAACGGAGGCTTGAAGAGTGATTATTAAACAGAATTTTCAAGGGATTCTCTAAGAGGAAGACGGTGCTAGAAAATTCTAGCTGGGACTTACGAATCTATAGGTACATCAATGGGACTTAAGACTGAAGGTCAGGCATGAAGGTCCTCTAGTTTTTAAAACTCAGCTGCAGGTGTCCAGGGATTTATAAGTGGTAAGTACTCCCAGTGGATCTCCCTGATCACTAACAATACAAATACTTACCGAGAGTCTCAGTGATCTCTGCATGTCTGCAAAGCCCAACCCAAAGGTATTACAGATGCATAGCATATAAATTAGTGGGGTGATTTTAAATGACAAACATGCGTTTAGGTTGATTCCTTTAAAGAAAATAGTCTACATATAATAAAATTAATTTTTAACAAGGAAAACGGAGTAAGCCCATTTCTTTTAAACAAATTAATTTTTCACTTACTGTAATGCTTATAACAAGGTATCTGTTATTTTCCAATGCCATTAGCCAAATGACAACAACAAAAAGAACAACCAATGGTACCATGTCATCAGTGCGTGAGTGACATGCCAGTGTTTTAAAAGACCCCACGTAATTACGACTACTACGAATCAGCAAATTGCCACCCCGATGATCCTGCAAAACTGACTCAACAATACATACACATGTTATTAAATATCCATGATTATTTTAAATGAAAATGTGTCAGGAAAACCTACTCTTAAAGCTTTCATAAAATAAAATGATCCTTAAAGGCAGGATTTAGTAAGTTGTTTGTTGGCTTAATGGCGGCACCTAAAATTCACATAGAGATCAAACATTTTTAATAAGTTTTACTTTCCAATGCTTATTTTACTCTACTTAGATGACTGAATTAAAATTCTCTCTGGCTATTTTACAATCCATAATACTTGATAAAATGTATAATTACCAAGTATACTTATAAATTAAATCAACTTCTATTTTATATGGGCATTAGCATTATAAAAATTAAACCAACCAGATTTAAACACCTGATTTAACCAATTTAGGAACTACTTCTAGATAGTAATGACTGCAAATGTAAAAACGTTATGCCATAATGACCAAGGAAATCATTTATAATTACACTTTGCACTACAGGGTTATCATTTGCCCAAACTAAAGTCAGTATTGCTATTTCAAATACTAAAACGTAGCATTTCTTTTGTATGTTAAAAGGTAAATGTATTAATGTAATGGTTCCTACTTAACAGTTGCTCTTAAGAGTAAAATCATTAGCAGTATTTAACTACTCCTTTAAGCAAACAGTGACTTTGCTACCTCTGTAATCGTTTCAACCCAATATCAGCTATGGAGCACCGAGGAGGTTTAAAAACAGCTCCCCTCCCCCAAATGAAAGAAAACCACAGTAAGCAAAGCAGCAGCAGTTCTCCTATAGCATATGAGGAAGAACCTGTTCTACTTTTCCTTTAGCATGGATTTGGGGTATTTACGCTCTTCTAACCTTTAGCATTTCTTCATGTATCCCATAATGCCCATATGAGCTGAAATAAACACCATCCTCATCCTCCTGGAGGTCTGCAATGGCAGTAGTAGATGACGAGCAGGTTCTGACATCTGCGTTCATCACAAAATCCTGGGCAAATTGTCTGTAATCAATTTGAAATACACCCTTGAGACAGGTTTATTGGACCATGAAAAAAGGAAAGGCTAGAGGTTGTGGAAGAAGAAGACGGGGGAGGGAGTGGAGTGTGATGAGCCTTTTAAATCACATTTTATCTTAAGCAACCGAAAGCTCCCCCTGCTGGATGTTAAGCCATGGCGTATTCAAACCCAGTGGGAAGCATTCTTACAAACCATAAAAGCAATGCCAACTATAGAGGACAGCTCCTTGCATCTCTCAGCTGAACAAAATAAGCACATTACCTTTATTCACCTTTGTTACTTCTGATACTCTAAATCTTTTTTAAAGCAGCTGAGTGAGTCTAGTATGCTTACATTAATGTTCTTTAAAACCTTATTATCTCTTGGGAAGTTTAAACAGACAGAAAGTAGGCCCAAGCAGGTAATTATTTACACACACCACCACCACGCACGCCAGCTCTAAAACTCAACTCCTTCTCTGATCACGATACGTTAAAAATATATAGGGTATGCAAGGAGAGCTGCAAAGGGACAGGAAGCGGAGTTGTTGGTTACCAGACTACCTAGCATAAAAACTCAAAAACAGGGAAAGGGGACTGCAACCTGGCCTGCTATCTTTCCTGCTAGACATTCTGGAAAATCATCGAAAGGACACTGATGCAACGGCAACCGGCTTCCAAGTCCAACAGGTGGAACGCTGTGGTATATGGGGTAGAAATGCAGAATCTCGGGCCCTACCCTAGAGCTCTTGAATCAGAATCTACACTGTAACAAGATCCCCACGTGACACATATGCACATTAAACTTTGAGAAGTACTACACCAGTAAAATGCTAATTTATTCACTGGAAAAATCTGTCCTAATACATCTAGTTTTCTGGTTAAATACTACACCATAACTACATTCTGATTCTTTAAAAACAAAAATTTCAACCTGTATTTTCCCCAAACCTAAAAAATATTAACCCCTCCGATTTAAAAATCTAGGATAGAAAAAGTACAATGGGGGCCTGGAGGTGGCATAATGGTTAAGGCATAGGACTCCCACATGGCTGACTGAATTCCAGAGCTGGTGGCTTGAAAATCACACTGGGCACGTATGCAAATCCCATGAAAAGAAGGGAAGAGAAGAGGTTGGGGTGTGACCATCCCCCCAGGGGGTAGTGTCTCACTCCCCCCCTTTCTATCTCTCTCTCTCTGTCGAGAGCATGCAACCTACACCAAAAACACTAAGAAAAAAAGGAAGAAAAAGTACATGCAGAAATCAACAGGAAATAGGAAAACTAAAATATATATATATACATATATATCAAAGAACAAGGCATTCAGAGGACAAAACTTGTCAGAACAATTCCCAATGGTAGAAAAGTAATTAAGAGGATGTATATGAAAACAGAGAAAACCAGTAAGATTTTTATATTAACTATATCCACAAAACATAAAGCTACATAAATTTACCACTACTAAATTAAATATGTGCACTGTGCCTTCTCGTTTATGAAGCGTTCTACTACAGGCTCCCTCGCCATTAGCTGTTGCTACAAGACTGATTTCTATGAGCGGATAAATTACTTCATTCTTTGCAGATCTTCTCGCGCTCTCGCTAAGGCAGCTTCAGCAGACAGCGCCCTGGCTTCCATGTGTTTCAGTTTCTCTACAACAGATGTGTTTTCACTGAGTCCATTGGGGTATGAGTATGGGACTGACGCCGGTTCATAAAGATCTTCGACATCTGAGGAAATAAATGGACATTAGTGCCAGGTCATCCGATAATGATGAAAAAGTATCAATGTTACAATATAGCATAAGTGGCTGTTAGGTGGCCGACTGAAAAATTTACCAAAGTACTTTTAAACACTTCACATCCCAACTGTTTCCATTTGAAATACACCTGTGAGATACAAGCATTACTTACAGTGAGCCAAACCCAAGAAGAAAGTAAAAAGTACAAGCAAGAAAATAGTGTATTCATCCCCAGGTATCTTTCAGATATGTGAATTACATATCTCATTTCATCCTCAAAATGAATCTAAGATATAAGTATTTATTCCTACTTTAGGCATGCCAAAAATACGCTTCAGAGAATTATGTGACCAGCCCAAAGTCAAACAGCTGTTTAATGGAGAGGCTACGATGCAACCCCACACCTACTTTCCGTGTCCTTGCCACTGCTGCAGGCCGCTTCTCAGCCTGTGTCCTCGTCAGCAGAATAGCAGCTATTTAGATAGTTAGACATTCCTTAAGGGAAGCCCTGCCATTTGCAACAACTGGGATGAAACTGGAGGATACTGTGCTAAGTGAAATATGCCAAGCACAGAAAAAGAAATGCTGTGTGATCTCATTTATACACGGAGGCAAACTTAAAGAGGCCGAGTAGAGGGGCCAGCAATTAGCGTAATGGCTATGTCGCTGGACTCCCACGTACTCAACCACAGTTCAAGTCCTGGACCCGGTGGCTTAAACTCACGCCGGGCGTGTGTGCGTGCGTGCCCAAGATCCCGAGAGGAGAATGGAGAAGAAGGGATTGCGGCATGGCCAT